GAGTGGTGGGCGCTTTGTGGAAATGGGCCTACACAGAATGAGAGAGAAATCCACCAATAGTTTGGATGTGGAAACTTGTAACGCAGGTTTTCTTGTGCTAGTGGGTAACATAAAAACGAAAAGCATACCTGGCCTGTCCCGAGGTTTCTACTCCTCCTGCTGAGTGTGATGCTGACCCAGCCGCAGGATCCTCAGTGTCGCTGCGCAGGTATCTAACCAAATTAGAAAGCTGAAGCAGTTATACATCCACCAACAAACGCAGCAACACATGTGTTTGAGTGTTATGACCACACTGGCTACGTTTTGCCAGTATGGATCCAGTGGTGTGCAGCACTCACCTGGCCCTCAGGCGCTGTACATCTCCTCCTGGGTTGGTCAGAGGGACCCCACCTTCTCCCAGGAAGAACCTGCCCCCGTCATCACCGCCAGCTCTTTGGTTTTGTAAGGACACTGGGCGGATGTTCTTAAAGTAGCACTCCAACAGCTGCAGAGACAAGAGCCGTCAATGACAACTATAAATCACCTCCCAGGGTCCATACAGAGCAGGAAGAGAGTCGCTGCTGAGAACAAAGGACTTACTTCTTCTTCCTGGATGGTCATCCTCAAGCTTGCCCTTCGCTCCATCCAGTCCTGCACCTGTGTGTGTGGGACAAAGTGTTGGAGCTCAGGGTGATGCACACTTCCATCAACTATCACTTATAATTTACTGGTTTTGTTGGCGGCGCTTACAGAAAGTTCCTGAACAGCACTTGCTGTCAGTCCGTGCTGTAACATCAGGATGGCCTCGCAGTACTGCCTGAACGTTGTCATGGCAACGTTGGGGATGCAATCACCGCCTGCAAGCTTTTGGTGGAAATACTCGATGTCCTTTTTGGCCACGGCGAGGACTTCCTTCTTATCAAAGCTGTTGCAAAGGTGACAGTAAGACAGTGTTGAAAGTGTGTATGTGTCCTGCAGTATGTGTGAGCCAGAGTGGCAATGAGCTCATCACACCTCTGTGTTGGGCAGGTTTGGGGAGTGTCTGTGACGATAAAGCCACGGCTCTGAAGGAGACTGCAGAGTTTGGTGCAAGATGCTGCGTCCTTGCAAAACTCCTGCAGCTCCGAGATGCTCCAGAGTCGACCTTCCCTGGAAAACAGCTTCTGGGAGGCAGTAGCTCTGGAAGCTTCTTGCTCCCTCTCCTGTGCTGTGCCGTCTTTCAGGCACACTTTGCTCAGGTGATTCCAAATGGAATGCTGGGGCTTGTTGCACAGCAGGCAGTACACAATGTTTCTCTCCATGCTGTTTGGACTAAAAATACAAAGAGAGAGACAAACTCCCCACATCACTTCATAGCACCAGTAGCATGTCTCTGTATGATGCAAAGCTAGCTATGTCACTACACTGGACACCGAGCAGTACCTACTTTAAAACTGAACCTTTGTTGATCCTCTGCTGTTTCTCCAAAGCACACAATGTTCTACACAAACACATTTAACTTTAGCACATGTATAAAACACGCACGCACACAAGAAGTTCATTCAGCTAAAAGAAACGCTTCATAGAAACCATTTCTACAACCAGCAAACGCAAAGAAAACAAGCCACGACTAAAACAGCAGTTACGCAAATGAGCAAAAGTTGCTAAACAAACAAAACTGAACCAGAAAGTCTCCAGACATCATGTAACCACCGTTTGACAAACGGTCCTACCGTAGGATGATGTTACGGTGATGTCTGACAAACCATCCCACTTAACTGAAGCTGCAAATTCGATAGTTTTGTGCCAAAAGCAGATGGCGTTTTCACTTTAAAATGAACAAACATTCACAATAGCTCAAAACAATATAGTATCCAAGTCAATAACATGCTAATACTTCCAAGTATGAAAACGGAGTAGCGTTAAATCACCCGGTGTTCCAGATTAACTGTGACGGTGGAACAGATGGTGGATTTTTTAATATTTTGCTTTTAACAGCAACAAGACTGACAGAGTGTGTCTGAGGGAACCTCACAAGTGTCACAGATGAAATATTTAGTGGTTTGTTGGTAGCAGCTCCTGAAAAGCAGGTCTGCAACACTTCTGTTCGACTGTCACCAACTGATCTGAGACACCAGTTAATCTGAGACACCGTCTCCGAAAGCGTCGGAGCACCTTTGCAAACAGTACACACACCATACACACAAGCACGCATATTGGGACTAAGTCCAGCAACACACTACAGTGGAACCCCGACTTACGAAATTAATCTGTTCCC